CAGCTAAAATGAATTTTGACGTTATATTTTTTATTCTGTTGAATTTTATTAATTTTCTGAACTATGGGAAGTGTCTGATAAAGTATGGGAAACAGCTTAATTGAATTTTGACGAAATATTTTTTATTCTGTTAAATTTTATTAATTTTCTGAACTATGGGAAGAGTCTGACAAATTATGGGAAGCAGCTAAAATTACTTTAATACAATATTTTACTTTTTTTTTATTTTTATTAATTTTCTGAACTATAGGAAGATTCTGACAAAGTATGGGAAGCAGCTAAAATTATTTTATTACATTATTTTACTTTTTTTCAATTTTATTAATTTTCTGAACTATGGGAAGAGTCTGGCAAAGTATGGGAAGCAGCGAAAATGAATTTTGACGAAATATTTTCTATTCTGTTGAATTTTATTAATTTTTTGAAATATAGAAAGAGTCTGGCAAAGTATGGGAAGCAGCTCAAATGAATTTTGCGAAATATTTTTTATTCCTTTGAATTTTATTAATTTTTTGAAATATGGGAAGAGTCTGGCAAAGTATGGGTAGCAGCTAAAATGAATTTTGACGAAATATTTATTTTTCTATTGAATTTTATTAATTATTCTAAATATAGGAAGAGTCTGGCAAAGTATATGAAGCAGCTTAATCATTTTGAAAAAATGTTTTACTTTTTCTGTTAAATTTTATAATTTTTCGAAGTATGATTTTTAAAAGTCTAGGAAGAGTCGATCAAAGTATGGGCCGCTGTTGAAGTTTGCGTAGAATATTACAGCGTTTATAGCAAACTTTTTTTAATTTACAAAGTATGGGAAGAGACCTTCAATATATGGGTGACGGAGAAAATTTAATTTTTAAAGGGCCGCCTATAATTTGATAATCTCTCTCTACACTTTGCAAAATGATTTTTTTAAACAGAAATACTTAAATAAAATTAATTTTTACTTAACTTATACTTTAATATACTTTTGCCACATTTTATAAAATGAAAAGATTCTTTTAAAAAACTCGTTCTTTTTTTTTCTGAAAAATTTTAATAAGATTAATTTTCCGCGTCACCCAAACTTCGACAGCCTGTTCTAATATTTTAAAAAGCTGAAAAATGTAATAAAAATTACATTTAAAAAAAAAGTAAAGTATAATAAAATTTAGTTTAACCCGTCGCCTATATTTTGACAATCTCACTCCATACTTTGCAAAATGAATTTTTTTTTTAAAACAAAAAAATGTAATAAAAATTAATTTTTTTATCACCTATACTTTGCCTAATTTTTTCCACACTTTTCAAAATGAGAAGAAATTTTTTTAAACTGAAAAATTCAAATAAGATTAATTTTCCCTGTCACCCATACTTTGACAGACGGATCTCATACTTTCAAAAATTAAATATTTTTTAATAAATCTGTAAAATTTTTATAAAAAATTATATTTCCCTCGCCCGGGGCGCATGATTATTGACAAAAATTCAATTTCATAATATTCAAAACATCGAAATTTTTATTATCGAAACGTCAATTTACATAATTTTCATATTTCGAAATACTATTCAACATAATTTTCATTTTGTCGAATAATCATTCATTCTAATTTTTAAATAATCGAATTGTTTTTTAACATAATTTTTATTTTGTCGAAAATTTTTTTGACATATATTTTATTATTCTTAATGACTATTTGTCATAACTATTAATTCTCTGAATGACTACATAACCTAAAATTCATTCACTCTAATCGCCATTTAATATAATTTGTATGTTTGAGAAACATCAATTCACATAATTTTCATATTTCGAAATACCATTCAACATAATTTTCATTTTGATTATAATTTTTAAATAATCTTATTGTTTTTTAACATAATTTTTATTCTGACTAATGTCTATTGGTTAGAAGTATTAAATGTTCAAATTATCAAATCGTCGAATGCTCAAAATATAGAATTGTTAATTCGTCGAATGCTCAAATCATAGAATTTTTAATTCGTCGAATGTTCAAAACGTCGAAAGCTAAAAACATCGAATTGTCAAATCGTCGAATGCTCAGAACATCGAATTGTCAATTCGTCGAATGCTCAAATAGTCGAAGCGCCATCTGTTCGAATTGCCAAGTAGTAGAATGGTAAAGTAGTCGAATGTTCAAAACGTCGAATCGTCAATTCGTCGAATGCTTAAAACATCGAATTGTCAGTTCGTCAATTGCTCAAAATGTCGAAATGTCAATTTGTCGAATCGTCAAAACGTCGAATTGCCAAAATTTCGAAAAATTTGTTTGATTTAAGTTAATGTTTAATTAAATCAAACAAATTTTTCGAAAAATTTTTATTTTTATTTATTAATAATTATAATTATTATTATTAATTATTATTAATTATTATTAATTATTTTTATTATTATTTTTTTTTATTTATTTTTGTTTTTTATTTTTATTTTTTTTTTTAATTTTTATGTTTAATTAAATCAAACAAATTTTTCGAAATTTTGACAATTCGACGTTTTGACGATTCGACGAATTGACATTTCGACATTTTGAGCAATTGACGAACTGACAATTCGATGTTTTAAGCATTCGACGAATTGACGATTCGACGTTTTAAACATTCGACTACTTTACCATTCTACTACTTGGCAATTCGAACAAATGGCGCTTCGACTATTTGAACATTCGACTACAAGGTAGTTCAAGTTGGGTGGGGGAAATCCAATATGGCTGACATCAGCTGATTTACCGGAGGACAAACAATGCATTGAATTCAATGGGACAAATTAGTTTTTTAACCATAACTTTTTAAATATTTATTTTTGAACCATAGTGTAATGGAAAATTATTCTTTATTTATCGAAATCTATTTTTTAAAACAATAAAACCAAAAAATTAAATTTTATTGTTTTAAAAAATAGTTTTCGATAAATAAAGAATAATTTTCCATTACACTATGGTTCAAAAATAAATATTTAAAAAGTTATGGTTAAAAAACTGATTTGTCCCATTGAATTCAATGCATTGTTTGTCCTCCGGTAAATCAGCTGATGTCAGCCATATTGAATTTCCCCACCCAATTTGAACTACCTTACTTTACCATTCTACTACTTGACAATTCGAACAGATGGCGTTTCGACTATTTGAGCATTCGACGAATTAACAATTCTATATTTTGAGCATTCGATGAATTGATAATTCGAACATTTAATACTTCTAACCAATAGACATTAGTCAGAATAAAAATTATGTTAAAAAACAATTCGATTATTTAAAAATTAGAATCAATGATTATTCGACAAAATGAAAATTATGATGAATGGTATTTCGAAATATGAAAATTATGTGAATTGACGTTTTGATAATTAGAATTTCGATGTTTTGAATATTATGAAATTGAATTTTGGGCAATAATCATGCGCCCCCCCCCTGGCCCATACTTTCAAAACTTGATATATTATTTTAAAACGCTGAAAAATGTAATAAAAATTAATTTTATTAAAACGTAAATTTAATCAAATTTAGTTTAACCCGTCGCCTATATTTTGACAATCTCACTCCATACTTTGCAAAATGAATTTTTTTTAATAACAAAAAAATTTAATTAAAATTGATTTTTTCATCACCCATACTTTGCTTAACTTTTCCCACACTTTGCAAAATGAGAAGAAATTTTTTTAAACTGAAAAATTCGAATAAGATTAATTTTCCCCGTCACCCATACTTTAACAGACTGTTCCCATACTTTCAAAAATAAAATATTTTTTTTAAAAAGCTGTAAAATTTTGATAAAATATAATATTTTTTGCCACCATACTTTAAAAAATTTAAATATTATTTTAAAACGCTGAAAAATATAATAAAAATTAATTTTTTTAAAACGTAAAATTTAATAAAATTTAGTTTAACACGTCGCCTATATTTTGACAATCTCACTCCATACTTTGCAAAATGAATATTTTTTAAAAATAAAAAAATTTAATTAAAATTATTTTTCTATCAACCATACTTTGCTTAACTTTTCCCACACTTTGCAAAATGAGAAGAAATTTTTTTAAACTGAAAAATTCAAATAAGATTAATTTTCCCCGTCACCCATACTTTAACAGACTGTTCCCATACTTTCAAAAATTAAATATTTTTTTAAAAAAGCTGTAAAATTTTGATAAAATATAATATTTTCTGCCACCACACTTTAAAAAATTTAAATATTATTTTAAAACGCTAAAAAATATAATAAAAATTAATTTTTTTAAAACGTAAAATTTAATAAAATTTAGTTTAACACGTCGCCTATATTTTGACAATCTCACTCCATACTTTGCAAAATGAATTTTTTTTAATAACAAAAAAATTTAATTAAAATTGATTTTTTCATCACCCATACTTCGGTATACAGTTCCCACAGTTTGCAAAAAGAAAAGATATTTTCACAAAACTGGAAAATTTAAATAAGGTTAATTTTCTCCGTCACCCATACTTTGGCATACTTTTCCCATACTTACAAAAATTGAATATTTTTCAAAAAAGATGTAAAATTAGATAAAAAAATAATATTTTCCCTCGCCTATTCTTTTAAAATTAAAATATTTTTTAACAAAGCTGAAAAATGAAATAAAAATTAATTTTTTTAAACAGTAAAATTGAATAAAATTTAGTTTAACTCATCGCCTATATTTTGACAATCTTTCTACACAATTCGCAAAATGATTTTTTTTTAAAACTGAAAAAGATACTTAAAATTGATTTTTTTATCACTTATACTTTTATATGCTGTTCCCACAGTTTGCAAAAAGAAAAGATATTTTCACAAAACTGGAAAATTTAAATAAGGTTAATTTTCTCCGTCACCCATACTTTGCCATACTTTTCCCATACTTACAAAAATTAAATATTTTTCAAAAAAGCTGTGAAATTTGATGAAAAAATAATATTTCCTTTCGCCCATTCTTTCAAAAATAAAATATTTTTTAACAAAGCTGAAAAATGAAATAAAAATTAATTTTTTTAAACAGTAAAATTGAATAAAATTTAGTTTAACTCATCGCCTATATTTTGACAATCTTTCTACACAATTCGCAAAATGATTTTTTTTTAAAACTGAAAAAGTTACTTAAAATTGATTTTTTCATCACTTATACTTTTATATGCTGTTCCCACAGTTTGCAAAAAGAAAAGATTTTTTTACAAAACTGGAAAATTTAAATAAGGTTAATATTTTTCGTCACCCATACTTTGCCATACTTTTCCCATACTTTCAAAAATTAAATTTTTTTTTATTAAAATGTACTATTATATTTTTAATTTGAATTTACTAATTAATATTGTATTTGGTTACCTTTATTTTTTTGTTATTTGCTGTCTTTCTCCTTTTGCAATATTCTGTCTATTTTTCTATTTTAATTTTTTTTTGCGTTCTCGGCTTGTCAACTAATTTGGTTATATTTTTGTTTTATACATAATTTCATTGTTTTTTTTTATTCTTTGAAGATAGGTTTACTCTTTAAAATTGTTAAAATGACTAGAAATGTAGTGTGAAAATGATGATTGTCGAGTGTTTTCATTTTTCTGGTGTTATTTTTGTTGCTCCTCATTTTAACACCTATAATTGGAGTTAAAGTGATACCCCCTGTTTAACTGTGTAGTGTAGACGTTTAAGTTTTTTTAGATTCGATAACATTTTTACATCATATTCCGACACTTTAATACTGAAATGACATTCGAATAAGGCAAGAGTGTGTAAATTTGTAAATTCATCGAAAGCCTAAAACAGAAAAGATGTATTATAATTTCAGTCTTAAGATACTGATGTCCTCATTCTCTTCTTTGTCACTCGAATTTCACTAATTAAGATTAAAGACATATTCATGGGCCTCTGCAGTCTCAGGCAATTTTATTTTTCAGTTATTATTATAACACTCACCTTATAAAACAAATTAGATTGAATAGGTCGACAATTAACAAAAATAATTTCCTCTATAACATCACTGGGCAAATAAAGGAGACACTCTCCGCTAATACGTAATGGTCTGCCAAATGCTCCAAGTCTTAGAACTTTCAGATTTTTCATTCGATTAAAAAGTTCCATTAAGTTCGGTTCTTCAAATTCATTAAGCCACGGCTCAAAGCCTAGTTTAACAATGTTTTCACAATTCAGTAGTAAAAGGCAAGACGTTAAGTTAGTACGTACTGAAAATGATGTCGAGAAACTTTGCCTGGCAGTAGATATGTCGTTAGATTAAAATGTCTTCCGTTAGATAATTACCACAACGAATTGCATCATGCATTATTTTATTGCAAATGAATATTTTATTTTGGTATTTATCAACTAACCAACCCCATGATAAGGATTGAAGATTGAGCTTTTTAATAGAATTCCTAGATTTTTTACTTAATCTTTGCGAACGTTTACAAACTAAAAATAAATTTAATTTAATAATAAAACAAAAATTAATCTAACAGTTTAGATTTTAATCCAATCGAAATATTAATTTTGATTTTAACTCGTTATGGTCATTCGGGGTTCAAATGAGCCTCAGTTAATCTAACTAACCGATCTCGATCTGGATTTCCCCACAGAGAGCAGGCACTTAGGTACCAACCTAAGTATTGGTATTAATAGCAATTGATATTAATACCCATTGTATCCGTCTCCAGTTTTCTAGAGTCCTGTTATCCTTTAGAAGTCCAGGAACTGTTCGGCAAGCCTAATATAGCTAATACAGCACCCGGGATACCTGAGTTTAAACTCATTAATTCTACGTTAGTGTCGCATAATTCGAAGGGGGCCTTAACGTGCAAAGTGACCGTGTCTAAATTTTTTTAGTCAGAAGTGGAAAATCTGTAAAATCAGATACCTGAATTTAAACCAAAAGGTTATGTGCTGATGACCACTCTTGTTCTGGTCGTCCCAATAAAAACCACTCCCGTCTTACTCTTGGACCCTTGCTCCATATGCGGTACTACCGACAGGCCTTGAACTTCGCAAGTTGTGGTCCCATTGTCCTGCTCCTTAACTTTCCATTAAGGGAGGAAAAGCTAAATGTTTTCCTCCCTCCACTCCCACACTGCTTAGCACTGGATTCCTCCGGACAACTTCGTCTACGTCTCTATCTTTATCCTCCATTATTTTAATAATGTAGGATTCAATATGTCTCCAGAAGTCCAAGTTTTTAACCATGGTCGACACCACGTTATTCACGTTGATTTCAAAGTCAATTGCCGTAAACATGTCCATTCTATCAGGTAGTAGCGGAAAGAGATCTCGATGATCTCTTGAGTGTACGAAGGCTCGCTTCTCTCTGATGAAAATTTCCACGTAATCGTTATCGTAACCATAAGACCATATGTTTCTGTTCCGATAACACCCTAATTTATAATTCTTTTGACGACCGATGGTCGCAGTAGCTATTATAGGCTAACCCCTAACGTTATAAATTATGAATTGGGGAAACAATACAGGAATGGCAGATTTAAAGAAAAGTAAGAAAATGATATGAATCATTACAATACCTACTGTTAGCAATCATTTAATAAATATATTGTGCTTTTTATATTATTTCTCGCGTTTTAATAAATAGTTTCTATTTATTAAGTGTTTGTTTGGGGTTTCCAAATACTGAATTTGGGATTATTCTTTTCTGTAGAGAAACAGAGGATTCCACGGTAAAGCCTTATTCTTCCATTGACCATTGTAGTTCGCAGTTCTTGCTAACGTTTTTCCTTTTGCTCTCTACAACTGTAGTTGAACCCAGATAATTACCATCTAACCAGTTATACTGTGCTTTCCGCAGCGAGTCGAAACAATATACACACGTAAGTGAATCAAATTTTTTAAAAATTCAGAACTAGAGATCAGGGCTGCCATGGTAAAAAGTGTAAATCAGAGAACGAATCTATCCATTCATATTTTATAACACTGTAGCAATTAGTTTACTAAACTCGGGTCACGCGTTTACAGTGTTGCCGTTTTCAACAGCGAATAATTCCCGGAAGTTCTGTTGAAAATTCCCAATTTTTCCCTGGACAAATTTGAATTTTTCCATGAAATTTCCCAACACGAAATTATTAATATAATAAGTTAAAAGAATTTGCTTTGCTAAATATACACAATTTTGTATTGTATTTGAAATATTTTTGGAAAAAATGAAATTTTAATTAAAAGAATTTGTATATTTTTGTTCATATAAGTCTTTTATTTTTTATTTGCAACATTATAAAATTAAGACCATTAGGCCAAACAAACGAACAAATATTCATATTTATTATAATATATTAAAATATATTATATATTTATTAAAATATTCAATAAAACTTCGCGCTCATAAAACTGTCATATTTTACAGTTTTCTTTGAAGCATGTTTTTTGTTGGATTGAATTTTATTAATCATCCAGCATCTTGAATCCCTTCTCTTGTAAGCATAATAGCATTTAGGGTTTCATTTCCAAGTTTATTTCTGTGCAGGGTTTTAGTAAGATTTACTTGACTAAATAATCTTTCAATGGAGATATTTGAAAATGGCTGAACGAGTAAAAGACCAATAACTTCTTCTAAATTCTTAAAAACAGGTGTGCCTGCTGCATTTTTTAGCTGAAAAACTTGACGCCAATAATCTTCAGGAGGCAGAGCAGAATCCAAATCATAATCCTCGTTATTTTGACAATGTGCGCGCCAATCTTCATCTAATTTTTGCTGATGAAGAAGTTTTGTGCGGGCGTTGGAAACAGCTAAATTTGCACTATGACAGGTACATTTAATAAATGCAACATCTGGTAAAAGCTGCTTTAACAATTGAACTACCGAGTAGTTTGATCAAAACATCACGTTGGTTGTGTCTGAGGAATAATCCACTAAATTTTGAAGGGGTATGTTTTTCTCTTCTACAACTCTTTTAAACCATTAAACAATTCTTCTGCAGTTCCACTAGGCATTTCTATCATGTCAAAGAATTTTGTTTTCACTTTATATTCCACGTTGTCATAAAAAGTAATAGTGAATGTTCATTGTTCTGCTGAACCTTGATCTGTATGTTCATGAATCACGATAGAGAAGGCCTTTTTAAAGCTTTGCAGAAAGTGTTTCACCAAAATCTTTGCCCAAAGATTTGGTCATTAACATGGATGCTTTAGTTCGCCTTACAGATAGTTGCTGTGCAATTTTGGAATTAGGCAACAAATCTGCACATAAAAGAGTTAAGGTGTCCATGATCAAAAAAGGTAAATGGTTCGTCACCAAAAGACCTTGTTTATGATTTAATTGTTTGTTAACCTTCTACGCAGCGTTGCCAGTTGTTGGGACTCGATTTCCCCCTCTACTGCTTCGGCGCTCTAGCTATAAGTGGTGGTAGGAACCGGAGTCAGTCTTCGCATAGCATTCGAAGTGTGAGTGTCGCGCGCATCAAAATATTGCCGTTAAGTCTGTGAATATCTTTGCATCAAAATTTGTTGTATCATTGAGTTCTTGCTTATCCTTATTCGTTGTTACTTTCCTTTTTTTCACATTATAATTTTACATGTAATTTTTTTAAACAGACCTGTTAACTTTATTCCGGCCCTCCTTGTAGCTCTTTTCAATTTGATTTCAGATACATTTTCGATTTTCTTATTACTTGACACATCAGACATATTTATTAAATGTTTTTCTGATTTTGAATGCCGTATTAACGTGGTTTTGTGTGCTATTAAAGTTTTTTCGCAAACTTTGCAAATATCCATTTCATCTTCGGACTTGCTTTGTACGTCAGAATTTTGCAGCCAATTTCCTGCGAATTCCCGTAAACAAGGAATTAGAAAATAACTGTGGATAACGACGTTTTTTATTTTTTATTTTCGTTGCTGGCTCTACACACGTTTTTTCATTTTCGCAGTCTACTTTTAACCTTTTTCTAGGCCGTTCTATATTCAATTATTCATCTGAAAAATGCTGATCTGCATCTGACGAATCATCAGCAGAATTATCGCTTTGCAGTTGTGCTCGTAAGAAAGACTTTAAATTAGAACCTGATTGTTGGTAAATATCCTAAATAGAAAACATAACCATAAAACATAACAGTTCATAAACGTTCAAGTTATACTCTGTAAAACTGAATCAGTGAAATTTGACTGAGAATCAGTGACTCTATTCTCGCGAATAGAATCAGTAAAATTTCACTGAAGATCAGTTAAAAATTATTGCAATTTCTGTCATTTTTCACTGATTGGCCAATTAAAAAATAACTGAAATTTTCAATATGTGTGACAGAAATTTTCAGTAGTTTTTTAACCCTGAGTCACACTCCTTATAAATAATTACACCACTACACACGTTTAGAAGGAATCCCTCACCACATTGTAAAATAAGCGACATTACAACATAAACGAAGGAATCAACAAAAATTTAGTTTTAACACAAACTTACAAATATGTAGTAAATTATTCTGAATTATAAAATTAATAAAATTAATTTTCGGTCTCAAAAATAAAAATTAGTTACACGAATGCACATCTTCAAAGAAATTCCACTTTACATGTAAAAATAATGTAACATTAACTAATAAGCAAAAAAAATCATTAAATAACTAATTTTAATTATATTTATAATATAATTCTGTCATTAACCAACATTCTATTTTCATTTTCTATTTCCATGTAAATTTTCCATGCTTGTTAAAATTTCCCGGATTCCGGGAAATTTCCATGAAAACGGCAACACTGCGCGTTTATCGATCCATGTTGGATTATAAACCTATTAGTGCAACAGATTCTCGACTTCTGGAGAGAAGGATCCTCCATAGGGTTACTTGATTCGAGGTGATGCACCAGAACCGAAAAGTTCCTGATACAATGGGTATCGACCTAAATGCGTACTCTCATAATAGCGAATCCTGTATCATGTTCCTTATAAATTATTTTAGATAGTTCAGTTACAGAATAAAGAATAAGGAAAGTTTATATTTTTAATAACAATCGTTTTTTGTGTAAAATGAGGTAAATTTTAAATGGATATTAGGTTATTAAATTTAAAGACATGACTAAATCGAGTTAAAATAAAATTAATGGAAGAATTTCCAAATTACCTACCTCTTTCAATTTTAATTTTATCGATGATTGGAAGACGCTGGAAAATTAATATGAGACAATCGTCGTTTAAAGAATTGATGCTAGTGTTATCCATTGATTCTTCAATCTTCGGAAGGATGTCAGTTTTCTCCTCATATGACATTTTTTAGGTGTTATGTCTACCTCTTTTTTGCCTTCAAGTTATGCGGTGTCTGAAAAGAAAAAAGTTTAGTATTTTAAAAGTTGCCAATCCTGACACTTCTCACAGACCACCCATGTCCTACGTACACAAAGATGTACATCTGAGAAAATAGTGATGATTTGCAATTTAGAAAAAAATCTGACTGATATTATTGTGTTCGTTTGATATCCTATTGTTCTAGGGACGTCTCTTTTGGATTACTAATTATCATCAAGGATACTGATAGGAATTTCCATACTGTCTCGTTATCATCTATCTATCAACGCGGAACACCGGTTTCCAATCCTAATTCTGTTTACCTGATCGCTTTGTTCCTCCTGCCTGGCCTTAATCGTTGGAAAACACCCAGACCGCTTTTCCTTCTCTCTCTATTTTCCTGACCAATTCAACCATTCCCCTTTTTTGGACTTTGTTCCCTTTTGCTTCCTCATAAGGAAGCTTTGCATTCGTGACGATTTTCAATTTTTCAAAAGAAGGTTATATGGACTCATTTTCATCTATAACATATGTATATTCAATTCTGATCAAATGTCCAGATGTATGTGTATGTGTGTATGTGTGTGTGTGTATGTCACAAAAATTGTGTACAAATTATCTCAAACAAATTTTGATGGATTGTCTTGAAATTTTGCAGGTTTATTGCAGTCATTAATACCTAAAATCTGACACAAGTATTTTCAAAAATATCTAAAAAAAAATGTTATACAATTTTTTTAAAATTCAAAAAAAAATTTTTTTTGTATTTTTGTAAATAATTTTTTTATCTGTTAGTATTTTAATTAATTATTCTCAAAATTACATTCCTGACAAGAAAACGAATCGATTGATGTATACAAAGTATATTTTTTATCAAAATTTATAAAATTAATAGAAATTTTTCTTTTTCACAAAAAATTCAAATTTTGTATTTTTTCATAATTTATTTAATATTAATATTTTTAAATGATTATTCTATCATAAAAAAAGAAGCAATTTGCATATGAAATAGAGGTGTGTATTTAATCGAACCGAACATTAATCGACTCGACAACAGAAAATTCGAATCATGTCGAATTGCAAAAGTTTGCAAACCGCAATATAATTACATTTAATTTATGAATATATCTTGCTGCATCAAAAAGAAATTTCCTTAAGAAGAATGTATGCTTTGATTGTTATGCTTTTGAAAAATCATAATTTGGTTTTCATGGAGATTTGTACCTTAAATGAAGTAATGAATATATTATTAACTTTAGTAAATATTTTATATGTTTGATTGGATTTTAGCCAATATCATCAAAGTACATTTAAAATTTTTTAATTTTTTGAATTTATTGAAACTAGCGACATATACCTCACTCGCTAACGCTCGTTCGGTTGTATTTAAACTTATTTGTTTTTACTTATTTATTTTTATTTATTTGAACTAAGTAAATATTTAATAGACATAAATATTTTAATTTATGGTATCAAATAAATAGTTATTTGAACAGGTTAGCCTGATTCTTTGGATAATTAGTAAGAAAAGGGCGAAGATACGTCTATTCTTTTCTTACTAATAGGATTTTCTGTAATGATGGGACATCGACATCGGAAACATCGATGTTTATAACCTCGATGTTTTAATTTCAATATTTTCGATGTATCGAGGTTTTTCCGATGTTTGATATTGATGTGAATTAAGTGGGGAAAAAAGGATTTTTTTAAATATCTCCTTTTTTGCCTCTAATAGTTTGTGCTTTTTTATTTTTTAAACAATTGCTACACATTTCGTTATTTATCTTTAATTATGTTTAATTAGAAACTTAAAAAGAGAAAGTAAATTGGAAAAAAAAAATTTCAAAAAAATACATTTTTTGCCATCACCCAATTTGTGGGGTATTCGGAGTTTTCACTTGAAATTTAAAAAATTTCTATTTTTTAGGAATATTTTTTGTTTTACAATAGAAAAAGTGTTAATACTTACAATGAAGCCAAAACTTTAGACTTAGAATAAACTTTTTCCTAAATTTTAATTGAATAAAAAAATTTTGAAAAAAATTTTATTTTTTCCACGAAAAATTATTTTTTAATTAAAAGTTTTTTCATAAGGTGATATCTTTTACAATTGTGAAAGAAATAACAAAAGCCGTAACATAGTAACGAAGATTCTTTGGGCTGACACAAATTCTCCCATTACCCCACAGAATTGTTCAGGCCAAAATTTGAATAAAAAAATAAAAATATAAACAAATTTTATTATTATCTCGATTTTTATACAAGTATATATATCTACACATATTCACCTATAATATAATGAAAAAGCATAACTAAATAATACGATTTTAACTACTTATGGTGATGTTTAGAAATATTTTGCATTTTACAACGAAAACTCAAAAAATACATTTTCTCTTGTCTTTACTAAAAATTTGTCAAGAATGTAATCGTTTGTTTTGGAATGATATAAACAAAGGTTGTAGAAGATTTTCTAGACATTGCAGCGAATTTGAAGGCTTTTAAGTACGTGAAATTTAAAAGCTCCCATTACCCCACGCTCCCCTACACAAAAAATAAAAAAGATATTTCAAAAATAATATTTGCCTATCTTTTAGTACTTTTGACCCATTTTCCCCTAAATTTTTATTAAAACCAGCCAATATCGTAGGTTTTAACTTGTCCAAAATGTGAATCATCTTAAAATGCTATATGGGGCGTTCCATGGCTCTATGAACCGACGAGATTTTGGTTTTGCTTATACCCAAGCAGCACGGAATATAACCTTAAAATGAAGGGAATATTACATTTCATATTCGGAATATTCTAGGGATCTTAAAGTAATATTAAAATGTCCGCCCCACAGAAATATTCCAAAAATAACATTGAGGGAAGGTTCCACGGTAATTTCGAAGTAATATTCCAGGATGATGTTGAGGCAATGTTCCACCGTAATATTAATGGAATATTCCAAGGTAATGTTGAATGAATATTAAGGGAATATTCCCTGGAAATATTCCAAAATTTTATACTTTGAAAAAATTTGACTTTTTTTCTCTTTATCTTCTTTCTTTAGTAAAAACGATTTTCAATGGTATTTTCAACATATTCAATATTATCTGGGAACATTCCCTCAACATCACCCTGGAATATTCCATTAATATTACGGTGGAACATTCCTTCAACATCATCCTGGAATATTACTTCGATATAACCGTGGAACATTTCCTAAATTTTATCTTGGAATATTCCTGTGCAGCGGACATTTTAATATTACTTTAAGATCTCTGGAACATTCCACTGGAATATTCCGAATATAAAATGCAATATTCCCTTCAATTTAAGGTTATATTCCTTGATACTTAGGTACTTTGTAATTTGATAGTGTTTAGGGTCCTAAATAAGTGTGCCAAAAAGTTTTACAAAATTTTTAATATTTTGCAAGATATTTGCAAGGGAGCGTTCATAAATGATGTCACGTTTTTTGGGGGACTAAACGTGACACAATGTATTTTTACATATGAAATTGCATGAAATTTGTTTGACAGGGGGAGGGGGGGTATAAAATCCCGAAAAATTGCGTGACATCATTTGTGATCGCTCTTCAATCAAATAATTTCAGCACTTTTTTTCAGGAATTTTTATCTCGTAAACTATATAAAAATGCTGTTTTATTAATTTTTTTGAGAAATGTTTTTTTGAAATTTTTACTGCACTATTCTTACGCACGTCACCGTCACCAATATTGTTACAAAAATTAATGAAAAAATGAGTATTAATTATAATCAGGAATCACTATCTTCGGAGTTGTAACAAAGAAAGAATTGGAATTTATAATATTTTATTTAGTTCAATTCTTTGATAATTTATGGGGTCGTTATCTCTCTTTAATCTTGGTACATCTCGCCTCTTTATAAATTTTATTAAGAGAATTTCTAGCTTGTCATTATTATTTAAATAAAAGATCACAATAATTTATGTCAAATATGATATATTTAAAATAACCAAGTTTTATTACAAGTTTTAAATTTCGCAAAACCAGATTTCGAAAATATGAACTAAAGTTGGATGAAATATGATTCAATTTTCATAATAAAAGGATTTACTTAAATTTTGAAACGATACTATTTGTTACTTACGAAGTATTGACCTTAATTCCTACCGCACTTAAAAGAAGGGAGAAAAGGTCATCTAGAGCTGGTCCTCCTTCTTATTAGGACGGGCAACTATTTGTTTATTTGTTTTAATTTGTTAAAGTGTTGTTCACCATTAATTTTCAGTCTTTGCTATTCAGAACGTTCACTATTAACAACTTATTTAAATGGGACAATTTGAAGCACTCATTTTAAATATTTTGTTTTTGTCTCTACTCGTTTCGATTCCTCAATCTTTACGCGGCTATTTAATTCGAATATCTATTGTTTTGGACTTGTCTTATGATCGTTGTCATAAGTTCAAAACAATTCAAAGTGTGACGAAAGGGCTGCCAAAATTGTGGAATATATGAACGAGAGTAATCGACAATCGTGATTTTATTTATGAGAAGGTTTAAATTGTTCCATTATTTATTTTTGTGTTCACTGTTAATTCTCAGTCTTTTCTATTCCAAACACTTCGCGATTTTTTATTTTAACGTCCGCCCGAATTCGGTTGCCCGTGGCGAACCCTTGAACCGGCCGAGTTTCGCAGACGGTCAACCTCGCGATAACCTGTCTCCAGGAGTTAACTGTCGCGAAGAAGCAATTTACATTGGGACACATCAGTTTTAATACCTGAAATTGAGGTTTGGGTGTGTCAAAATTTAGTGGAGAGGGATAAAGGATTGGGAAACGTATTCTTATATTGGCCAATAATTATTATAAGTTGGAATAACTTTAATGTCATTGCACCCTCTTACTGTGCAAAAATGTTTAGTTCCTTATATTGGTTGCAACATGTGAATTTGCAACAGAGTCTTTGATGTCAAAGATCTTTTAGAAACGCTTACGTTTCCATTTTATCAACAGACTACATTTTGGTCATTAACCTAAAAGAGTCTTTGATACTTTTAATTTATGGAGCTAAAAAGGACAATTATGAAATTATTCCATTAGTTCATACTTGGCAATTATTTTATTCGATTAAGTTTTTGGTTCAAAGAAGGATATGGAATTTGGATTCTCAAGTTGTAAAAATGATGCACGCGCAATGTAAATTCCTTATAATTTGTTGACACTATTGCAAAACTCTAACTTATTGCAATATGTTCGGTTTTGTTTAGTGCAATAATTTATTCTGTGAATTTGTGATAAAATAGTTGTAAAAGTATTTTGGAAGAAGCGTAATAGAATAGAATTTTACTAAGAATCAAAACTACTTAATGCCTTTCTAAGTAAGAAAAGGGGAGTTCAATTTTGATGGCTCGTATGACCCTTTCATTTTTCTTTAATTTCGCTTATGTATATTTTACCGTTATAATTAAATATAATAGGAAATATACTCTTCTAATTATAGTAATTGTGAATACAATTTATTAAAATTTAATTTAATAAGGATA